GCCATCAAGTGTGCCATGCTCCTGGAAAAGGCGTGCCAGAAACTGGTGCTGCCCAGGAAGCTAACTGTAAGCGTATTTCGATGGGGCAGTGCTGCTGTCATCACCAGCCACAGGGTGACTGACTCACAGTCACCGATAGGAAAGAGGAGAACAGCCCCATACGTTGTCTGGGGATTTTTATGGAAACGTATCATCATAACTTTCTCCCATGGGTTCAGCCTTGCTCGGAGTCACTGGTGGGTTCCCAGTGTGCTAGGATGGGCTCCTTTAAGAGGAAAATGACCCCAAACCAACCCCCCAGCTGTCAAGTTGGTTCAGACCCATAGCGACCCTTTCAGACAGAGTAAAACAGTTGTATAGAGTTCCCAAGGCTGTCCAGTCCGCACTGCCACATCTGTCTTCTACAGAGCAGGGGGTGGATTCAAACCATCAGCTTTCCAGTTAGGGTCCTAAATTGCCCTTCCATTGAGCTGCCAGGCGTCCCTGGGTGATACACAGGGTTACTGTGCTTAGGTTGGCAGTTCAGGTCTACCCAGAGGCACCTTGGAAGAAAGGCCTGATGATCAGAAAAATCGGTCCTTGAAAGTCCTGTGGAAACCACTGCTGACTACTCTGAGAAGAACCACTCGAGACGGTCCTGGAGAGAATTGGAAAAAATGGAACAAAACTCAAAACTATTATTTTAAAAGACCAGGCATACTGGTCTCATGGAGACAGGTGGAACGGGACTCCCCATCTCTCATCCCAGACGATGGTTCCTAGTCACTCTTCAGACCTGGAACTGAATTCATACACACCATCCACCCCACCCCCACCCCGCACCCCCAGCCTTACCTTTCAGCCACATGATAGGCCAGTAAGGTGAACAATAGCATCCCTTCGAACAATCAGCATAAAGCCCAGGATGCAGACAGGGACAGGAAGGCTAGGGAGGATGGGAAAGTGTCAAGGGTGGATAGGAAGGAAGGAACAGTGGGAGAAAGAGGCAGGAGTGCTGTTACTTTGTGGGGACAGCAGTCAATGTCTCTTTCTTCATCAGTGGCAACAATCCAATGTGTCTGAATTGTGGAATGGAACACCCAATTGTTCTGGAAGCTTTCACTCAACTCACAGCAAAATGCTACCAACAAACAGCCCAATGGAACTGACTTCTTTTCTTTTTAAAATCATTTTATTGGGGGTTCGTACAACGCTTCTTACCATCCATACATCCAACCATTGTGTCCAGTACATTTGCACATTTGTTGCCACCATCATTCTCAAAACATTCGCTTTCTACTTGAGCCCTTGGTATCAGCTCTTCATTTTTCCTCTCCCTCCCCGCTCCCC